AAACCCTCATGATCATGCATAATTTCCCTACATCGCCCTTCAGGGACCATAAATCATAATTCATCAATCACATCTAGAATTACTACATTAGACTTGGACGATAACATAATTCAAGTAGTTCAAGTACTACATGCATAATTCTATCATATTCTACTTGCATCAATAAATACCCACACTTAAAGATCCAATTTTGAAAAATGGGGGATTTCATGGATTCTTGGGGAATTCATCATAAAACAGTAGTAATTCATCAATTTGATCATAATATAATGCAATTAAATCATTAGAATCGTTTTGAAGTGAATCCATGACTTGGAGTAAAACCCTAGCTTTTTGGGGGAAATTGCAAGTTTTGAAATTGAGTTTGGATGGACTCTATGGGTGAAGGCTACCCATAGATGAAAAGCTACCATATCTTGGTGAAGATTTCCCACTAAATTGAGTAGAAAATAATAATTCTTCAACCCTAGCCTTCACCTTCTTCTTCCTTGGAGTTTTAGAGAGAGGATTTTTGGAGAGGGTTTTGATTTCTTTTGGGAATTTAGAAATTATGAAGAAGATGAGTTAGTTTAGGTGTTTAAAATACTTATATAGGTGTCCTAAATATATTAAATGACATCACTTAATGCTAACTTAAAATAGGAAAACGTAACAATTCCCCTAAGCCTAACTACCAAAAGGCAGTTTCAGGCATGACCTATGACCCATGACCCACGGGCCATGGGTGGGATCATGGCCCGTGCTGGTTGGGCATGGTCCTGTGTCTGGGGCTTACAAAAACAGGGGAGCAAGAGCCTTGACCCACAACCCCTTCCCACGGGGAGTGGGTCCATCCACTTTTCGTGGATGCCCTTTGAGGGAGGCTACTTTTGGATAGCTTTTTGGGGCAGTCCTAGGGTCCTCCTCAAGGATCCTTGGTTGGTCCTTGGGGGGGTCGTACCTTGACGTTTAACCCCTAAACCCTTCATTCTAAGTATGAGAAGCAAGTTTTATGACTCTTACACTTACGACAAACTCTAGTTAGTCTTGTAGTTTTACGTTAGGCTCTAGCTTAGTCTACTAGTTTTACGAGGTGTTACAAGGTCTGTTGGTGGAATGGAATGAAGAAGGATATTTTGGGATTTGTGGCTATGTGTCCAAATTACCAACAAGTAAAGGCTGAGCATCCAAAACCAGGAGGATTATCCAAAGATATAAGCATTCCCACTTGGAAGCGGGAGGATGTAAATATGGACTTTATAGTAGGGTTGCCACATACTTGGCGCCAATATGATTCGATTTGGGTTATAGTAGACCAAATGACAAAATTGGCTCATTTCATTCCCATCAAGGTTTCTTATGCTGCGGAAGATTATGCCAACTTGTATTTGACGGAATGGGTAAGATTGCATGGTATGCCATTGTCCATTATCTCCGAAGTACTATGTTGTAGCTCTTGCAGTTAAAAGGGTTGTTTGGTGGGCTAGCTCATGAGGATCCCTGTAACACCCCAAAATTTTGTAGGTTGAACTAGAGCCTAAACGTAATGTCAATGAGGTATAAAATGAATTTCCCTAAGTTAGTAGACCATCTAGGTGTGCAATGGTGGTCTATGAGTTAAGGCCTAAGGGAGGAGTGCCAAACAAAAGGGGCAAGCCAAGGCCTAAGGCCAAGGCTGCCCCAAATTTGGAGCGACTGCCTCAAACTCCACGGCCAACACCACAGCTCGTGGTCATGACCACGGACAGTGGAAGGCTTCGTGGAGTTTCCTTGGTCGAGGGAGAGGGACCTCCAAGTGTCCCAGAAATTGCCTCACCCTTCACGAGAGGGAGCACGAGTCGTGGTCCACATCACGGCCCGTGAAGGTGGGCGTGGAGTTCTCTTAGCTTTTAGGGAGTTGGGGGTTGTTAGGGTAGCTACTGCCCAAGGCACCACGGGCACCACTATGGGCCGTGGTGCACTTGACGAGGGAGAGGGGTGGCGCGTGAACATCACTTGGCACAAGGCTTGAAGTCCTTGCCTCCAGAAGGCCAAGTCATTACCAAGACCATCACCACGGACCGTGGTCATGACCACGGATCGTGGGAGCCTCCGTGATCTTGCCTTGGCCAAGTGGTTGCTTGTGCACGAAAGGGGAGCCACTGACTCCAACACCACGGGCAGTACCACGACCCGTGGTGCACTTTCACGGTCTGTGAATGTTGGTCGTGGTCCCTGACGGGGACCATTTAAATGAGGAGTTTTGGGACTTTTCCTTTAAAGTCCTATTTATGTAGGGTGTTTTGGGTATTTTTAGAGGTTAGTTATATATTGGTTTTTAAGTCTAAATTCACAAGTTTTGGTCATTATACACAACACCCAATTGAAATCAAAACTCTCCCACTTCTCTCTAAAATCTCTCCCTAAAAACCTTAGAAGAAGAAAAATACATTGGAGCTAGGGTTTCAAGGTTCTTTCCCAAATTGCTTGGAGTTTCTCCATTGATTCTCAAGGAATCAACTAAGGTATGGTTGCTTATCACTCTTGGGATTCCTTTCCCGAAGAGGTCCCTTCAAGATGAATTTCAAAATCTCCAATTTCTAGGTTTTTCAATCAAAAAACGTGGGTCTTCTTTCTAAAGTGAAATTGATGCTATAAACTGAATTTGATTGATGTTATATGAACAATTATGAATGAATTTACGTTGTATTTGTGGTTTCTTGAAGAATTCCCCATGAGACCCATGTTTCTCCTTCTTTTCCTAATTCTAACCCTAGTTTGTGTTGGATATTGAGTGAAGGCTATGAATCGAATGTGATGTTATGTAATTCATGTTTGTATGATGATTCTACCCTAGGTTATGTATAATTTCTATGAAATTAGGGTTGAGTCTTTGAATGAAGCCTTGAAGGCTATGAAGGGAATATGTCAATTGCTTATATTGATGTTGATTATGTATTACTTCATGAATTACCTTGTATTATGTATTGGTTATAAACTGATTGGTGATTGAAGTAGGAATGTCCTATGAAGGGCAAGAAGGTATGAAGGTTGGTTCTTCTTTGAACTCAAGTATGAAAGGTGAATTACTTAGATTGTAATGGTGCAATACCTAATGTGTTGTTGTGGTGTTGATGACCTAGCTTCCTCATCCCTAACCCTCTACACTTGAATTAGTTATGAAATATGTATGTATGTTATGGTATGATTGCTATATGATTGAAAGGTAGTTCTCATGATTATAGTGTAATGTAAAGTGAAAGGGTTACTCACTTACTAAGTGTTTCTAAAGTGAAATGATTGTTACTCACTTATGAACACATGAGCTATTATGGTAAGATGTTTACATAAGAGTCTAGTAAAGGCTAATGTGAACTTATGTGAAGATGATTACAAAAGGGAATTAGATGCTTAGCACCGAAAGGGCATGTAAATGAGATGGGGGTCTCACGTTTAGTAAGTCCAGCTCCCCACATAGGTTTTCTCACGTTTAGCAAGTCCAGATTACCCACGGTATGTGTTATCTCATGAGATAGAAATCCCTCACGTTTAGTAAGTTAGGATTTCTAGGAGCAATCTCCTTGACCCTTAACTATGTGCCCACGTTGGACTTTAGCTTAGTGGATCCACCTAGATGGTTATGTACGAATGGTTACACCTTAGGCAAGTGTTAACCCTCTCTTTTCAGTGTGGGAGTAGAACACCGGATTCCATGTAGCTCTAATGGTCTATGTCGGTTATGGAAATATCTCCCTAATGTAAAACTAAAAGAATGTATGAAAGGTGTGAACTCTTAATAGGGCTTTCTTAAGGGTTTCTACATTGTGTAAGGGAGGGTATGTGACTTCTCTTGCACATTGCACTTGTGGGATCCTAAGAGATGGTTTTAGTAGTGTTCTCTTATGATTATGATGATTATGACTTATGTATGTTGAAGCTATGCTATGTATGATCATTATGAATATGGTAAGTTATGATTATGAATATGGTAAGTTATGATGAAGTATGATCTTATGTATATGCATGAAGTAGGTTGCTTAATGTGATACTTGGCTTTGAATAGGGTTATGGGATTCTATTCCTTGCATTGCACTAGTATTACTTGGGTTGTCTACGTGTTGGGATGATATGATGTTGGTTTGTACTATGATCCTTACTTTGTGTGCATATTGGATTTACTTGGTAAAAAACATGTTTTGACTAAAATGACCTTTTTATGTATGTTTCAATGGTTTTTATGCATAGTAGTCATACTTAGTACGTGTGTTGTACTAACCCATATTGTCTCCTTTTTCCCCAAACATTTAGGTTCGGGCCGTTGATGAGTCAAGCTTACTTCTCAAGACACTTGGAGTTGCTTCCCCAAGTTGGTGAGTCCTCATGTCCGAGGACAAGACCCTATGATCTAGCTTCTAAGTTTAGTTCTTTGCTTATGTTGAAAGACATTGTTGTATTTTCCTATTTTTAGACTTCTTATTGATGTAAGGGATAAGTCCCATTTTCGATACTTCTATGTCTAGATGGTACATTGTGACGAAGTTAGATTCTATTTTTCATATATGAAGTGAAGTTGAACTTCCAAGTAAAAGTTTTAAATTTTCCGTGTTTTTATTCTATCATACATGCTATGATGAATGGTAAGGGCTTGTATAAGACCTCTTCGAGGTCGAATACGCTAGTAACGACTAGGGGGTGCTCTCGGGTCGTTACAAACTTGGTATCAGAGTATAACGTTGAGAATAATGTAGGATCCATGTCACAAGATACCACGTCTAGTAGAGTCTTGTTCATGGGTGTGAAGCGCGCCACACTTATGAATTGGAGGCTACGAGATGCTTAAGAACTTTCACTCTTTTGTTACTCCATAGTTGTGCCTAAGAGTCTTAACTCTATCTAGTCCTTTTCTTCTAATCCTTCTCTTGTTCTTATAGGCAATGAGTACAAGAAGAAACAATGCAAGGAGGGCTGGTGAGGAGAATATGAATGAGGCGGTTCCCCCTTAAGCTCCTCAAAACCCTCAAGTTCCTATTGAAGAAGGGGCTATGTCTAATGTTGAGATAAGGTCGGCTATTCATAATTTGACTCAAGTGTTGGCCACTCAAGTTGCTAGGGATGCTAGGGTGCAAGTGAACCCCAATGCTAGCACTACCGCTTCTAGGATAAGGTAATTTCACAAGGATGAATCCCCCTACTTTCTTTGGATCCAAGGTGGAAGAAGAACCACAAGGATTCATTGACGAAGTGTTTAAGGTTCTAGAGGCGATGAGTGTGTCTTCTCAAGGAAAGGCGGAGTTATCCGCCTATCAACTCAAAGATGTGGCACAAGTGTGGTATGAACAATGGAAGGAGGGGAGACCTATTAGAGAGGGTCCGATAAGTTGGGCTACATTTAAGATGGATTTTCTTGATAGGTTTTTCCCCTTGGAACTAAGGGAGAGGAAAATGCAAGAATTCATCAACCTTCATCAAGGGGTATGAGTGTGAAGGAGTATGGCCTCAAGTTCACTCAATTTTCCAAGCATGCTCCTACTTTGGTGTCGAACTCTAGAGCTACAATGAACAAATTTGTTATGGGAGTATCCTATCTTGTGGTGAATGAATGTAGGTCGGCTATGCTTATCCCAAGCATGGACATTTCTCGTCTTATGGTTCATGCCGAACAAATTGAGGAGCAAAAGCTTAAGAAAGTTGGTAGAGAATTAAAGAGGTCAAGGGCCGATGATGGAAATTCTTCTAATGTTAGGTTTGAAATCCAAAATAAGCCAATGTTCAAACAGAGGTTTTCCAACCAAGGTCCTCCTAACACTCCAAGGGTCAACAAAGGTAAAGTGTCTACCCCGAAGCCTCAAGAAACAAAATGTGGTGGTCCTTATGTTGAGAAGCCTATTTGCACAAAGTGTGGCCGAAAACATGAAGGCAAGTGCCTTGTTGGCACGGGAAATTGCTATGGTTGTGGTAAGAGCGGCAACATGAGGAGGGAAAATGCTCAAGCACAAGCAAGTGGCCCAAATCCCGATGCTCCTAAGAAGAATCGATTCTATGCTCTCCAATCTCGAGGTGATCAAGACAGTTCTCTGGATGTTGTGACCGGTATGTTACAAGTATGTAACACCCCGACTTTTCAAAACGTCTAAATTAACTCGTATATTCGTGGAAAGACAAGGAGGGTGAGTAATAAATTAAGAATGATGTGGTATGTCCTATTTTAAGTGTTCAGGTGTTGCATCTCAAGTTAGGTAAGTGGCAAAATAAAAGTTGGCGGAAGTTATCGTAATTTCCTTCTTAAAGATTTCTCTGAAATTTGGGTCAAATGTCTTGGAGGTTTTCTCCCAATCTATAAAGAGTTATGGGGCCCACAAACTATTGAATCGAAGGTCTACGAGTCTAGTTTCCAACGCATCAAACCGTTCATTCATACGACTTCAGAATAGAGAGATATTCGCATTTTTGTGGGACTGCGCAAGCAGGCGCGTGAGGTGGGGCCCTAGGTCGGTGGAAAGTGTATATATCTTCTTCTTCGCGTTTTTTCTTCATTTTTAAGCTAATTATACAGAGAAAACATAGAAACCCATTTTTAGGATCAAGTAAAATATCGATTTTCTCGACGTAAGTTCTTGACGAAAGTTGTTCTACGCGTTGGGCTCATCATCGTGGTATAATTTGTTTAATCGATTGCGTAGCATATCACATTTTAATGTTGGGACAGCAGGGGTTTGAATATATTTAAAGGTTTTGAGGTGAATTACGAAGCTAAGATCGAGGTAAGACCCTTCTTTCATCGACTCTAGCTTTTATAAGCACCAAATAGCAATTTGCGACGGAAACACATATCTTTTATTGTATTGTCATGGTATCTTTTATTTTATGTGTTGATTACGGTCCTACCTTGTTGTAGTATCGAGGGAGTTACGAGTTAAAGTCTTTAGGCGACGTGAATTTAGCGAAAAAGGTATGTTAAGGCTATTCTCTTCCTATGGCATGTTCCTCAAAGCTTAGGAGCAATGTAATTGAAATGTTATCGTTGTATACTTGTAGCCATCATTGTTGATTGTTGGTTGCTCTAGTGCGTATAATCCTCTCTTATCGGGATTCTTATTCAGTAGTAACATTCGTATGTTGGACATGACTTAGAGGCTAATTGTATAAGTTGCCTATAACTAAATTGCTCACTTTTAGCTGTTGGATTGTTATTGTTGCCTTTGGGCTATTGTTGTTAACTGCAAAAATGTGATCTATGCCTAGCAGGGTTATGTTCTGCCTACAGGGCTATATTGATGCCTAGAAGGGCTATGAGTTGCCTACGGGGCTATATTGATGCCTAGAAGGGTTATGAGTTGCCTACGGGGCTATATTGATGCCTAGAAGGGTTATGAGTTGCCTACAGGGATATATATTGAAGCCTAAGAAGGTTATGTACTCCCTACATGGCCATGATGTTGCCTAAGAGGGCTATGAGATGTCTATAAGCTATGTTGATGCCTAAGAGGGCTATGTGACTGCCTGCGGGGCTAGGAGACTACCGATGGGGTATACAGGCTGATTGGCACCTTCCGGGCTTATGGGGGCCTGAGTAGGTGGTCTTGTGTGCTGTTTGTACCTACCGAGCTTATGGGGGCTTGGTTAGGTTGTTGTTTTATTATTTTTGATAAATTTAGATTTAGAAGCAGGTCAGTATAATTATCTTATCCTTAATTTATTTATCAGATTATTCTAGTATATCAGGATACCTCATCATAGTCTATTGCCTTTCATACTCTGTACATTATTTTGTACTGACGCCCCATTGCCTTGGGGCGCTGCATTCATGCATGCAGGTCCTGACAGACGACCGAGTAGACCTCCTTATTAGCAGGATTGACTTTTATCCGGTTGGTCAGCCCCTTTCCTCCGGAGCTGCCAGAGTTGGGAGGTTTGTTAACTTTTGTTGTATATATTCTCATGGGTAGGCTGGGGCCCTGTCCCACCAATCTTTACTACTCTTAGAGGCTTGCAGACTAGTGTGTGGGGTTTATAGCTACGTTATGGCCATGCTGGCCTATGTTGTTGGTTTGCTGAAGCTTGTGAGCTGTTTGATGTATTGTACTGATATTTACCTATTTTTAGTTTTGGTATAGATATCATGGTGGCCTCGACGGCCCAATCAGGACTTCTGTGCTAGTTGGATATTTCTTTATATAAACTCTTGGGAGTAGCTGGTTCTTTTGTAGATCTGTTGACAGGGGCCTTGCCGGCCGAGGGCTTAGTTTTAAGCCGAGATATACTTGTTTGTTTTCTTAATTGCATGTGACTGCCATGCGCTAATAGCAAATGGTTCAGCAGGGTCGGCTCGGGCCTGAGTTTTGGCTTTAGGAGTCAGTTGCGCCCTTTGAGTTTGGGGCGTGACAAAGTATTTTCAATTAATGTTTATGCATTGTTGGATCTCGGTGCCACTTTGTCTTTTGTAACCCCTTTAGTGGCTATGAACTTTGATATGCTTCCCGATGTCTTAAATGAACCCATTTTAGAATGGAAGGGAGGAAATTCCGTCCCCAGGGGAAGGACCATTTCATGTCTAAAAGCTTATAAGTTGATTTCTAAGGGTTGTCTCTATCACATTGTGAGGGTCAAGGATCTTGAGTCCGAGATTCCTCATTTGGAGTCGATCCCCGTAGTGTAGGATTTTCTGGAAGTCTTTCCCGATGACTTACCCGGGATTCCTCCCGAACGGAAAATAGATTTCGGCATAGATTTATTGCCAGATGCACAACCCATTTCAATCCCTCCTTACCGGATGGCCCTAGCGAAGTTGAAGGAATTAAAAACTCAACTCAAGGATTTGTTGGATAAGGGTTTCATCCAACCTAGTATATCACCTTGGGGTGCACCGGTGTTATTTGTAAAGAAGAAGGATGGATCTCTTCGTATGTGTATTGATTACCGACAATTAAATAAGGTGACCATTAAGAACAAGTATCCACTCCCTAGGATTAATGACTTATTTGATCAACTTCAAGGAGCACATTACTTTTCAAAAATTGATTTGAGGTCGGGTTATCACCAACTTAGGGTGAGAGGTGTTGATGTTCCGAAAACAGCCTTCCGAACAAGATACGGTCATTTTGAGTTCTTAGTGATGTCATTTGGTCTTACAAATGCCCCGGCGGCTTTCATGGACCTTATGAACTGTGTGTTTAGAAAATTTCTAGACTCATTTGTTATTGTGTTTATCGATGACATCTTGATATACTCAAAAAGTGAGGATGATCACATGAATCATTTGAGGATAGTATTGCAAGTCCTTAAAGATCACCAACTCTATGCTAAGTTTAGCAAGTGCGAGTTTTCGCTAAGATCAATTTCTTTCCTTGGTCACGTTGTTTCTAGTGACGGTATAGAAGTTGATCCGAAGAAAACCGATGCGGTCAAAAGTTGGCCTAGACCTTTGAGTCCTTCCGACATCCGAAGCTTTTTGGGTTTGGCCGGTTACTACCGGAGGTTTGTTGAGGTATTTTCATCTATTGCATCTCCATTAACAGCCTTAACTCAAAAGAAGTCCAAGTTCGAATGGTCGGAATCTTGTGAAAGGAGCTTCCAATTGTTAAAAGATAAGCTCACCTCCGCTCCGGTTCTGACCTTACCGGAGGGCACCGAAGGGTTTGTAGTATATTGTGACGCTTCCCGAGTAGGTTTGGGTTGTGTCGTCATGCAGCATGGTAAGGTTATGCCTCGAGACAACTCAAGGTGCATGAGAAGAATTATCCAACTCATGACCTTGAGCTAGCGGCCGTAGTCTTTGCCTTAAAGATTTGGAGACACTATCTCTATGGGGTACATGTGGATGTGTTTACCGACCACAAGAGCCTTCAATATGTTTTTACTCAAAAAGAATTGAATCTCCGACAAAGGAGGTGGTTGGAACTCTTGAAAGATTATGATGTGAGTATCCTTTACCACCCGAAAAAGCAAATGTAGTTGCGGATGCTTTGAGTCGTGTATCTATGGGTAGTGTGTCTCATGTGGAAGAAGAGAAAAGGGAGTTAGCACGTGATGTACATAGGCTAGCCCGGTTGGGTGTCCAACTTGAAGATTCCCCAAAAGGAGGTGTCATGGTCCGTCATAATTCCGAGTTATCGGTTGTTCTTGACGTGAAGTCTAAGCAACTTCTTGACCCTATTTTGATGGAACTAAAAGAGTCGGTTCTCAACAAAGCAATAGAAACTTTCTCTCAAGGAGAAGATGGGGTGCTTAGGCACCAAGGGAGGTTATGTGTGCCGAATGTGGATGGCCTAAGAGAGACAATCTTAGAGGAGGCCCATGGGTCCCGATACTCCATCCATCCAGGAGCCACCAAGATGTATCGCGAATTATGTGAGATTTTCGGTGGAACGGAATGAAAAAAGACATAGCAAAATTTGTGGCTAGGTGCTCAAATTGCCAACAAGTCAAAGCCGAGCACCAAGGACCGGGAGGTCTGACTCAAGATATCAATATCCCTACTTGGAAGTGGGAATGGGTCAATATGGACTTCGTGGTAGGTTTGCCTCGAACTCGTAGGCGACATGACTCCATTTGGGTCATTGTGGATAGATTTACCAAATCAACCCATTTTCTTCCAGTCAAGGTTTCTTATTCGGTGGAAGATTATGCTAAGTTGTATATTAAAGAGATTGTGAAGTAGCATGAGGCCCCATTGTAGATTATTTCGAATAGAGGTGCCCAATTTACTTCCCATTTTTGGAGATCTTTCCAAAGTGGGCTTGGTACTCAAGTAAAGCTTAGTACCGCATTTCACCCTCAAACGGATGGTCAAGCGGAACACACCATCCAAACCCTAGAGGACATGTTGAGAGCGTGTATCATTGACTTCAAAGGTAATTGGGATGACCACCTACCTTTGATAGAATTTTCCTACAACAATAGCTACCACTCAAGTATTGCTATGGCACCCTTTGAAGCACTTTATGGTAGAAGGTGTCGATCTCCAGTTGGGTGGTTTGAAGTGGGTGAATTTGCTCTTCTTGGTCCCGAGGTAGTCTATGAGGCCACAGAGAAAGTTTGACTTATAAGGGATAGGTTGAAAACGGCTCATAGTCGGTAAAAGTCTTATGCCGATAATAGAAAGAGAGATCTTGAATTTGAAGTAGGTGATTGGGTCTACTTGAAGATCTCACCCATGAAAAGGGTAAAGAGGTTTGGTAAGAAGGGGAAACTTAGCCCCTGGTATGTTGGGCCTTATGAGATCTTGAAGCATGTCGAAAAGGTCGCTTATGAGTTGAAATTACCCATTGAATTGGCCCCGATTTATCCGGTGTTCCATATTTCTATGTTAAAGAAGTGTATAGGTGACCCAGTGTCCATCCTCCCTCTAGAAGGTTTAGGTGTGGATGAGAACCTTTCTTATGAAGAGGTTCCGATCGAAATCTTATATCGTGAAGTTAAGAAGTTGAGGAATAAAGAAGTTGCCTCCGTAAAAGTCCTATGGAGAAACCACCTAGTTGAGGGGTGAAACATGGGAGGCCGAGGCCGACATGAAGTCGCGCTACCCTCATCTTTTTCCTCCTACTCCTAGCCATAGTTGAGGTTAGTAGTCTCTCTTAATTTGGTATAAATTGAAAAATCATATTTGTTGATGATTATGACATGATTTCCTTGTTGGTGCATATTTTGTGAAAATTCATGCTTACGTTGTATGTTTAATTTTCATAAATTTTGTTTCTCATGATTGAAATTGCACCCATAGATGTTGTGTGATGTTGTGTTCATGAGAGTTGTAATGAGCATGCTTGATGTTGTCTTGTTACCAAAATGTCTTTTTGATTGCTGAAAATATATGTTGATGCTCATTGAATATGGAGAAGGTAGTTCCTCCTATACTTATGTGAAGTAATGAGTTTTGAGCATAGTGATGTTGTGGATTAAAATGCTATATGATATGATGATATGATGATGTTGATGTGAATGGTTGTTGTGTTGCTAGTTGGAGTCATTGTCTCCCTAGAAAGAATTCCTAGTGGCATTCGGGGACGAATGTTCCTAGGGGGGGGGATATTGTAACACCCCAGAAATTTTGTAGGTTGAACTAGAG